CGACGACGCCGCCGACCCAAACCTCCGACGTCGTGCTTTGCCCAAGCCGTCGCCCCGGGGCATCTCGGCCTCAGGCTCCTCCTCGCGGAACGGCTTCTGAGGACGGCAGGGCCCGAAGGCAGCCCCCCAGAGGCCTGGACCGAGAACACATCGCCAACATCGCAGAAACCGATCCGCCCCGCAGGGGTCCGGGACGACCCCGAGCTCCGACGCCCCGTCGGAGCAAGATCAGCGACAGGAGCACTGCGCCCCATCTCTCCGCAGCAGCGCTCGAGCGGCGTCGATCCACGAGGGCCCTGGGCACCGAAACTGGAAGACGGCGCCCGGCGAGAAAAAAAAGGCGAGGCCCCCCCCAGACATCCGGCGACGTATTTTTTTTCTGCTGCCACTGCGCGGCCACCTGAGGCCCCGACCCCCCTTCCCTGAGGCTTTCCGTCGCAGATCCCTGCTTGACGGTCCTGGGGCCCGATGATTCGCGGGCGCGCCCTGGAAGCCGAAATCGAGGAAAAGCGCTGGGGTTTTTCAAATCATCATCTGGTCTTGGAGGCCTGGGAATTGGCACCAACACCAGCCCAGGGGGCTGCCTCCACAGGGGGAAGATGATCCTAGATTTCGGTGGTGGTGGCAATATTTCGGCCACCTTGGAAGCCAGAATATTACCACCATCGCCGAGATCGGGATCGTCTTCTCTCGGTGGAGGCACACCGCCGATCTTGGTGTTGGTGTCAACCTCTCGGCCTGCGATGGTCGGGGATCTGGGCCGAGATCAAAAAGGGTCTGCAGGGCGACGGCGAGGCCGCTCCTGCCGAGCCCCGGCATGGGCGCCGATCGCTGGCGCTGCGCTGGCGGGTCGGCGGCGGCCGTCGCCTAAGAGAGAACCAGAAGCTATATCTAAGCACTAACTCTCGAAGGTCCGCGCGGATTTCTCAGACCGGCGCTGGAGGCGCCACCGTGGAGAGTTATGCTTTAGAGTGGAATAAATCTGCGTAGTGTATTTGCGTAGTGTTTTTGCGTAGTGTATTTGCGTACAGTGTATTTACGTAGTGTATCTGCGTAGTGCTTACTTCACCTCAAAATTTCTATTTCGCCATTGAAAATTTCCTTTCACCATCAACCGCAATCGCCGCCACCGTGGGGAACCCTCGCAGATCCAGGGACCCCGCGCGGACCGTCAGGGTCGGGGCCTCGTGTGCTGCGCGTGTCGCCACACGGCGGCCCCCGGCGACGCGCCGTGCCCTGCGAGCGGAGAGAGAGCATGCCGCGCTGCGCCGCGGGGGGCGCGTGCCCTCGAGAGGCCCGGGACGTGGAAGCCCTGGGGACGTTGGGAGGTGGATACACCCTGCGAAATGGTTAAGAAATCATGGGTTAAGAAATTCATAGTCTCAGAACTTGAATAAAAACCCAAAATTTCCATTAAAATCTTAGGATTTACATTGAAACGTTAAGAATAATCGAGACTCTGGCCGAAAACTTAGGTTTCCTTAAACATCGCCTAAGGTGTAGCGTGTCGCGCCGAAGCATGGTGCCCTGACTCCAGATCCGCCCTACTTTGGGTTTTTTCCCAACCTAAAATTGCGTCGGAAACCCACTCGTAAGAAGCCGAAAAAAAGTAGGGCGGAAATGTTGGCACCCAGCATAAAACAGTGCGAAAATCAACAGAAATAGAGCGGAAACAGCAACAGAAAAGTGGGGCGGACATTGGCAGCAGCGGGGCTTGAAAAGTAAGGCGGAAGTTCCAAGCCCCCCTACCGACGAATTTCCCCAAAAAGTAGGGCGGATCTGGAGTCAGGGTGGGCCAGAACTGGCGGCGCGACACACCATCCAACGGTTCCCGACCGTGCGTTCGCGAAGCTGTTCCCTCCGCGAGCCTGGTGCTGCGGCGAGCCGCGCGCAAAGCGCCCGCCGGGGCTCTCCGCGCGCGAGGGCGCCTGTGCGGCGGCTCCGGAAGGTGTGGCTTGCAAAGGGGTGCGGCTTGCAGCCGGCGCCTGGGGGCGCGGGCGAGGACCTCGATATGAAGGGGCCCCAGGATACACAAATAAATACACAAAAATAAAAAAAAATCCCCATATTTTTCTATATTTTCCGGGTTTTTGTCTTCCCCCCCACTTCCCATATTTTCCCATATTTTCTGGGGAATCGGCGATGGATTGTGTCTGTGTGTGTTTTTCCCCTCCTGACGATAGAGATCTCTGCCGCGCCCGGACTTGGGGCTCGCCAAACCTTTGGCGCAACGCGGGGGCCCCCCTCTGAGCCCCAACGGTGCCGATCGCAGACCACACCCCGGCGTAAGCACAGGCACTGCTCGAGCAGGGGATGAACTACAGGATTGCACCCCGAAGCTGATTTTTCGTCGAGTCTGCCAAGCATGCGCGGACCGCTCCGTAGACCTACGGAGCTCTCTACGTGATTCGATTCTCGCAGACTCGACGAACAACACTCCTGGGGTAGAAGCCGACTCTGCAATGTCGGTGGCAACTCATGGGAGCCTCCCGTACCATCTTGTCGGTCTTCTGAATCGACGCACATGGACGCTAAATCAACGCTCATCGACGCTAAATCGACGCTAATCGACGCTAATCGACGCTAAATCAACGCTAAGCCGACGCCATCTCATCGATCCCCAAGCGCTAACAGCCCCTGAAGACGGAACTGACAAGGGCACACCAGGGCCCCCATGCTTTGCCACCGCATGCCGCCGATCTCCTCCTCGACCTGCCGTCGCCAAGCCTGCGCGGCGGCCTGCCCCGACCGCGCCGCCGCCGACGGCGGCGTGCCGCGCGCGGCGCGCCCGCCTGGTCGGCTGCACGTAAGAGTGACCCTGGGTAAGAGTGACCTTTGGTGCGCGGCTTTTCTGGGGGGCGCGAGGAGGCCAAACGCAAGCGCGCGAGACGCTAACATCGCAACGAGCGCGGCGATCGGGGGACCCCATTTGGCCCGCACCAAAGGTGACTCCGGCGAAAGGTCACTCTTACGTCTAGTCGACCTGGGCTCTCCGCGCGCGCGGGCGCGGCGGCGAGCGCGGCGCCGCCGGGCGACTCCGCGCCGGCCGCGGCGGCCGGCGCGCCGCGGCCCGCCGCGGGCGGCGCCGGGCAGGGGCGAGGCCGCCGCCGAGGGGCCGGCGGCCGAGCGGGGGCCCGGCGAGGCAGCGCGCGGGGCGGGGCTCGGCGAGGCAGGGCGCGGGGCGGGGCGCGCCGGGGGGGCGGGGCGCGGGCGGCCGTGGGCCTCCTCGGAGAGGGGGAGCGGCGGGGAGGGGAGGGGTGCAGCTTTCGCGCGGGGCGGGCAGGGAAAAGCCAGGCTCGTGGCGTTCCCCGAGAGGGAGGCATGTGGAAGCGCCGGCACAGGGGGCCCCCCCTCTCCTCCCAATTTTCTTCTTCTTCTCCTCCTCCTCCTCCTCCTCCCCTCCTCCTCCGCCTCCGCCTCCTCCTCTCCTCCTCCTCCTCCTCCTCCACCTCCTCTTCCTCCTCCACCACCGCTCCACCTCCTCCTTCTCCTCTCCTCCTCCTCCTCCTTCTCTTCCACCTCCTCCTCCTCCTCCCTTTCTCCTCCTCCTCGCTCTTTGCCTCCTCCCGCTTTCCTCTTCCTCATCCTACTTCTCCTCCTCGCCTCCTCTCCTCCTCTCCGCCTCCTCCTCCTCCTCCCCTCCTCCTCCTCCTCCTCCTCCTCCCCTCCTCCCCCCCCCGCTCCCTCCTACTCCTCCCGCTCCTCCTTATCTCCTCTTCCTCCTCCTCCTCCTCCTCCTCCTCCTACCTCCTCCTCCTCCTCCTCCTCCTCCTCCTCCTCCTGCTGCCTCCTCCTCCTCCCTGCTCCTCCTCCTCCTCCTGCTCCTCCACCTCCTCCTCCTCCTCCTCCTCCTCCTCCTCCTCCTCCTCCTCCTCCCCCCTCCCTCTAACCCTCCTCCCGCTCTCCTTCTCCTCCTTCCGCTCCTCCCGCTCATCTCCTCCTCCTCCTCATCCTCCTCTTCTTATTATTATTCATATTATGATATTATTATTATTCTTAGTATTATTAATATCATTATCATTTTTATGATTATTATGAGTATTATGATGATTATTATTATGATGATGATATTAGTATCATTATCAGTAGTAGTAGTAGTAGTAGTAGTAGTAGTAGTAGTAGTAGTAGTAGTAGTAGTAGTAGTAGTAGTAGCAGCAGCAGCAGCAGCAGCAGCAGCAGTAGTAGTAGTAGTATGCTTACTACTAGCATTCGTAGTATTATTCTTACGATTCGTATTAGTATTACTATTTTATGATTATTAATATTATTTTTTATCATTATCATTATTATTACTACTACTACTACTACCACTATTATTATTACTATTATTACTACTATTATTCGTATTAGTATTATCATTAGTATTATTATTATTGATATTCGTATCATTATTCGTATTATTATGTGTTTTCCCTCCTCCTCCTCCTCCTCCTCCTCCTCTTCCTTCTCCTCCTCCTCCTCCTACCCCCCTCCTGCCCCTCCCTCTCCTCTCCTGCCCCAGGGCACAAAAGCGCGGGAAAGGAACACGGGCTATGGAGAGATGCGCGGAGGGACCGCCGAGGGAGGGGGCGCTGGCTCCCCCGATCGAAACGACAATGAAGCCTGCGCGGATGCTGATGCGCTCTGCGTGCCAAGCGCAGGTAGCTTGCGCCTTCCAGAAGTTCTTCAGCCTTAATGGCACTGCACAGAAGCATCGAATTAAGGTCACTCGCATGCATTTCTTATACAGAAACAAAGCACCCAGGCCCCATCACCACTGCCACTGGCTGGTTTGCCAGGTTCGGGGATGTCGTCTCAGGGTGTGTGTATGTGTGTGTGTGTGCTGGCTCAGGGGTGGAAGCGTTGACGTGGAATCGGCGATACACCGCCGATAGATCGGCGATGGGCCTCCCGATAGCAACAACAGACGCGCTCCTGAGTGGGGTGGGGCAGCCAGGCCCCGATCGGCAAGGGGTGGGCGACCCCCTCCCCGCCCCCTCCCCTCCCCCCCCGACTCCGCCCCTCCTGATCCTCGTCCACGTCCCGCTGGAGCTGGACCCGGGCCTCCTGCGCCCTGCGCCTGCGGTCCTCGGTCTCCTTGTAGAGCCTCATGTGGGCGGGCGCCTCGGGCTCGCGGGCGCGCGCGCCCGCGGAGAGGCCCCGCGCGCCCCCCGCGAAGCCCTCGGCGTCCTCCTCGGCCGGCACGGCCTGCAGCGCGCGGCTCGCGCCGCCGCCGCGCAGGGGCTGCGGGCGGCCCGCCGGGCCTGCGGCCCACTCCGTGGGGCAAGGCCCGCCCAGCGGCGCGGCCGCGGCGCCGCCAGCGGGCGCCGCGGGCGGCTCGGGCGGCTCAACCGCGGGCGCGGGCGCGCGCGCGCGTTGGTCTTCCGCGCCGCCGCTGCCGCGGCGGCCCCCCAGCGCGCCCTCGTCGCTGCGGAGCCCGCCGCCGTACACGCGCGGCGGCTGCAGCCGCGACGCGGAGGAAGGGCGCGCGGCGGCCGGGGACGGTGTCGGCGAGGGCGCCGGGCTGGGGTCCGCCGCGAGCTCCAGCGGAGCCCACGGCGCCGTGGCGTCCACCGCCTCGTCGGCTTCCGGGCGCGGCGACGGCGCGGCGTAGCCACCGGCGGCGTCGGCGCTGGCGCCGCCATCGAGGTCGGACGGAGGCGCCGCGCGGGGGCTCTCTGGCGCCGCCTGAAGGCGACCTGCTGGCGGCGGATCCTCCCTGCTCCGCACCTCGACGACGCCTGGGCCGCGGCCAGAGCTCCCCGCGCTTTCCAGGAAAACCTTCAGCTCGGCGTCCGAGGTGAGCGGTATGAGATTCCCGCCCTGCATCTCGGCCAGCAGCGAGAGCGGCACGCTGTCAACATTGTCGTGGAAGTCCTGGAGCTCGTCGCCGCTCAGGCCCGCGATCTCCTGCGTCTCCGCGCGCGCTGGCCCTCATCCGCCTCCTCCTCTTCCTCCTCTTCCTCCTCCTCCTCCACCACCACCGTCTCCACCTCCATCGCCTCCTCCTCCTCCACCTCCATCGCCTCCTCCTCCTCCGCCTCCTCCTCCTCCTCCTTCGCCTCCTCCTCCTCCTCCTCCTGCTCCTCCCCTCTGTTCCAGATCCCTATACAACTCCGCACGCTCGCGGCACCACCGGGGAAGAACCGCTCCCCGGCCAAGGCCGCGACGCGCGGGGCGCCCTCTGCGCGCCACCCCTGGGGGGGGGGGCCTGCTCTGCGCTTCTGCCCAGGACTACAGCGACGAGCCGCCTTCACAGTCGGGGGCCCGCCCTCGCCTTCACAGTCGGGGGCCGCCCTCGAGGCGGACCCCGCCGTGAGGACGAAGGGTCCCCTGGAGGCCCAGCAAGTGTCGAGCAACACGCGGAGCCTCCTCCTCTTCCTCCTCCTCCTCCTCCTGGAGGCTGCCCTCCCGCAGCCCCGCGCGCAGCAGCCCCGAACAGGGGTCCTGAACTTCCCCAAACCAGGACCCTCGATCGTAAGAAGTTCTCGAGGACGACGAGGAAAAGGAGGACGAGGAGGAGGAGGAGGAGGAGGAGGAGGAGGAGGAAGAGGAGTACGACGAGGACAACGAAGACGACGACGATCCCCTCAAGCACATCGCACGCTCCCGGATAACGAGAACTGGCCAGGCACACACCCTGGGCCGAGAATCGGTGACAACGAGCTCCGGAACCGACCCGGAGGGCACATGCACAGATTCCGGGCCCAGGATGAGCATGCCTGGGATCGACGTGATGCACAGCTGGCTGAAAACCTTTGGGGCCCCAAGGAGCCACAATGGCCGACAAAGACTGGACCCTCGATTCTGGAGCAGGGGAGAGGGGGAGGAGGAGGAGGAGGAGGAGGAGGAGGAGGAGGAGGAGGAGGAGGAGGAGGAGGAGGAGGAGGAGGAGGAGGAGGAGGAGGAGGAGGAGGAGGACGAGGAAGAGAGCGAAGACGACGACGATGTCCTGCAGCACCGCGCACACCAACCCCGCCAGTGAATCGGGCGAGGACGCTAGCTGGAACGGCTGCTCCGAGCTGAACCCAGGCAAGTTCAACCTCACCATCAGCGGCGCCATTGGTCCGGCCAGCGGGGGGATCGGGGGAAAGAGAGGAGGAGGAGGAGGAGGAGGAGGAGGAGGAGGAGGAGGAGGAGGAGGAGGAGGGGACAGGAAGAGGGAAGAGGAGAGGAGGAGGTGGGGGAGGAAGTGGAGGAGGAGGATGGAGAGGAGCAGGAGAACAAAGGGAAGGAGTAGAGGAGGGGAAGACGGAGGGGAGGAGGAGGAAGGAGGCGGAGGAGGAGGAAGAGGATGAGGAGGGGAGGAGGAGGAGGAGAGGAGGAGGAGGTGGGGGAGGAAGTGGAGGAGGAGGAGGAGGAGGGGGAGGAAGAGGAGGAGGAGGAGGAGGATGCTGATGACGCTGATGACGCTGATGATGATGCGGATGATACTGATGATGATGATGATGATGATGATGATGATGATGATGATGATGATGATGATGATGATGATGATGATGATGATGATGATGATGACGATGATGAGGAGGAGGAGATGAGAAGGAAGACGAGGAGAAGGAGGAGGGGCAGGAGGAGGAGAGGAGGATGAGGATGAGGATGAGGATGAAGAGGAGGAGGAGGAGGAAACGGAGGAGGAGGAGAAGGAGGAGGAGGAAGAGCAGGGGGAGGGGGGATCCATCCTTCTCACTACAACAGGCGCCCCGTTTCAAGACCAACATCGCATGGGTCTGCCATTCAGATGAGAGCCCCGCTTTGAAAAGGATCTGACTTGCATCATTCTACCGAACACTAAAGAATGTGAGAAGTATGGTCATACAGCTCAACGAGGCGTCCAGCGAAAACCCAGTTGTGATAACGCACCTCCCCAGGATGTGCGCTTGTTGCGCAAGTTCGCAAGTATGGTCATGGGGCCCGAAGAAGTCTCAAACGAGTGCCACATTCTGGCATGCAGCCACCCTCCATCCGTACAGCTGTCACACAAGCTCAACGTTCTGGGGCTGTGGATCTAAAGAAGCCTCCAGCGAGAGCCCCCCTTGTTTGAAGGAATCGCCCCCCGTCCTGAAAAATCTTGCAAACGATGGGGACACAGATGCGCGGCGCTGCGGCGAGAGTTCCATTCTAACAACGACCCCACCCTCCATCCTTGCAGCTGCTGCAACCACTTAAAGCGAGTGTGCCTGGCGCTGATGCGAGAGGTCCAATATGACCGCCCCCCCATCCAGCTGTTTAACCGCTGCAGGTTTTTGAAGCGAATGTGCACGGCGACGCGAAGGTAAGAACTCCATTAGGGAAACGACCCGCTCCGTCCCTGTAGCTGCTGCAGGCTCTTGAGAAGAACATGAACATCTGTGCGGCGCCAAACGCTTAGGCAAGAGCCCCAGTTTGCAACCCACCCCCCTCCGTTCCCGTGAAGGAAGTAATGGAGGAGGACATATAACAATAATACTAGTACTAATAATAATCATCATCATCATCGTCATCATCATCATCATCATCATCATCATCATCATCATCATCATCGTCATCATCATCATCATCATTATCAGCAGCATCATCATCAGCATCATCAGCACCATCATCATACTCACAATATCAATGGTACGAATACTTCTACTAATCCGAATCATACTACTCATCGTAGTACTGATAACAACATACGCCATACACATACACATCTGGCGCTCCGACAGTGTATGTTTATGTGTTTATGACGCCTCTTCTTCTTTGGGGAAAGGGGGAGGAAGAGGAGGGGGAGGGGAAAAGGAGTGAGGAGGAAACTAGGGGGAGGAGGAGGAAGAGGAGGAGGAGGTGGATAAGGAGGAGGAGGATGAGGAGGAGGAGGAGGTGGGGGAGGGAGATTAGGAGGAGTGGGGGGTGGTAAAGAGTAGGAGGAGGAGGTAGGAGAGGGAGGAAAGAGGAGGAAAAGGAGGGGGAGGAGGTAGGAGGAGGAGGGGAGGGGGAGGAGTAGGAAGGGAGGAGGTGAGGAGGGGGAGGAGAAGGGGGGGGGGGGGCCGGGCAGGGTATGGGGTAGGAAAGAGGGGGTTAGAGGGGGCCGCGCCGCGCGCGTCGGCTGCCACGGCGGGCTCCCAAGCCAGAAAGGGGGGGTGCCGTGCCGCGGGCGGGCGGCCGGGGGTCACGAAGGCAGGAGGTGGTCGGGCGCGGAGGGGCGAGAGTAGTCACGAGGATAGCAAATCGGAGAACGAAGAGTGACATAAACATTAAAAACTCAGAGGCCCGCGCGGTCTTCTCGGATCGGCGCCGGACCCCCCTCCCTGGCGCGCGGAGCGCGCCAGGGGCGGCGCCAGAGGCGCCGACAAGGAGGGCTCCAGCGCCGATCCGAGAAACCCGCGCGGACCTTTGTGCGGGAGGGGAAAAATGACCACAGCCACTGCTTCTTGTTTGCGCCGCCTTCCAGCCGGCCGAAAAAGAAGCAGTGGTTGTGGTCATTTCCCTGGTGCCAAGCTCAACGAAAATGACCATAACCACTGCTTTGTTTCTGCGGGCTGGAAGGCGGCAACAAAAGAAAAGCAATGGCTGTGGTCGTTTTCACGCCCCGTACTTTGAATTTTATACTTATGTCATTGTTCGTTCCCCTAGAGTAGTCACGAAGACAGCAAAACCCACCCCGCACCCTCATCCGGGATCCTTCGGTGGCAGCTCGCGGGAGCCTCCCACACCGCCCTGTCGGCTCTGGCGACTCGACGCTGAATCGACGCTGCTCGACGCTAAATCGACGCTAAGTCGACGATAATCGACGCTAGCCGACGCTAACTCGGCGCTATCTCATCCACTCTCAAACGCTACTCGACGCTAATCGACGCTAAAGACGGAATCAAGAGGGTACACTAGCCTCCCATGATTTGCTACCGAAGGACCCCCCCTCCCGACCTGGTGATCCAGTGGGTCCCATCTGTGGGCGGGGGTGGTTTTTGCACCTCCTCCCTTCAACCAGGACCCCCTGGATCACCAGGTCAGGAGTGGGACTCCTGGCTGGGGGACGGGGTGGGTTGTGCTGTCCACAGTTCGTCCAGAGGGAGCACCAGCAAGCGAAGGACTGTTTTGCTAGATCCGGGCGGTTTTCCTCGATTTCGGCCTCCGAAGGCCGTTGCCGTGCCCTGGGGCCATCAAGGATGAATCCGGGATCCAGAAGCACCCTCGGGGACGTGGTCTGGAGAGCTGGGGCCACGGATTCAACACACACATCACATTGTCGCATGCCTCGGGGTGGGGGGGG